TAACATTATTTTGACTATTTTAACTAATTTGCTAGATGCTCGATGATTCTTGATTTGAATTAGTAGTTGTGTTGGTTTGGTGCCAAATTTGGCTTAAATAAATTTGTTTCATAATCAATTGCCATGACCCTATGAATAATTCGAATTTTCGATCTTTTTCATTACACAAACAAAATAGAATTTTTCTGTATCAGAAAAAGATAAAGTATAATTAAGTCACGTTATGTACATAAATCTATATCAGACATAATCAGTATAATCATTACACAAGCAAAATAGAGTTTCACACAATTTTCCAACTAAAAAAGATAAATTATAAATTAATAGATGTATATAAATTCATATCAGACATAATCAGTAGATATAATTGTAATTAGACATGCGATTCTGATGCCTGAAAAGTTTAACCTACATGAGATTTTGTCAAAACTATCAAGTCTATTGACTGACCCCTTATGCAATTCATCCATTGAATTCCTCTCTTTTGAGGTTTGTGCAATGCCTTAATGAAGCTAACTTTCACGTGATACTTTCGAAATTAAGTTTATTGGCTAGTTTTATTTTCACACAAACTAAATAAAATTTCATGAGATTCAACACCAGAGCACGAGATTCTGAAGCTAAAAGTACTAAAAGGTGTTTATTAAGCATGAGATTCTGTCAAAACTATTAACTAACCCGCTCAAAATCTGAAAATACATAAATACTATAATTTTTCTCTAACAAAAGCCTAAATCGTCAAAAAATCAATTAACTATGCCTCCTACATGGTTTCCTCCTACATGGTGGCATTTTTATCCTAATGGCTGCCTTGCGGTCCATGTTTAAATTACTGTGATATATATAGAATACAACTAAGTGACGAACAAAATAAAAAACTAACTGAACACAAAAATAAATGAATGACTTACCCACGGGATCCAAATATTGATTACTTTCAACACGTAGATTTTTTAAATAGGAATCCTCGATTCGTGAAAATTGATGATACTCAGGATACAAATTCTCAGCCTGTGCAAAATAACGACAGTCAAACTCCTCAACAAATTGTTCACAATATGAATCAACATACCTATACACAATCCAACATTAATTATATCAACGGTATCAAAGGTCAAAGCACTCAACAAATTATTCACGATATGAATCAACATATCCAGCATACACAATCTAATATTAATCATATCAACAGTATCAACGGTCAAAGCCCTCAACAAATTGTTCACAATATAAATCAACACCAGCATGCACAATCCAATTTTAATCATATCAACAGTCAAACCCATCAACAAATTGTTCACAATTTGAATCAACATATCCAGTATGCACTATCCAACTTTAATTAAAACTTACAACGACAAAATTTTTCACAACATCAAGAAATGATTACGATGATGCGAAACTTATCTAATATTACTTCTACTATTCAACATATGCTTACCAATACACTTCAGCACCATAACAATGATACTGCTACTTTTTCAGGCAAATTCTCAAAATCTAACTCAGCCACAACCATCTGTTCCTCCAACCAACACAACTACTAATTCAAATCAAGAATCATCGAGCATCTAGCAAATTAGTTAAAATAGTCAAAATAATGTTA